GAAAGACAATGCTATATTATTATTTTAAGAAATGAAAAAACGAATAGTGAAAAAAAACCGTTTCTACTCTTTTCAAACCGCCGAACCGTAAGAGATATTTTTCTACCATCTATTATTTAAAACCATCCGTAATCCAATTCGTCACGTCGTAACGGTCGGCTGCAGAAAGGTTGTCCGTTTGATTGTGACGTCATAAGTCACGTGGGTGGAAGATTTTAATAGTTAACAAAGCAAATTGTAAACAAAACAAAGCTAAAATATGCAAAAAAGACGAGTAGAATAGTAATAGGTGGTATTAAATTGTTTAGCGGGCGAATGTTTGGAGAAGAATATATATTTTTTTTAAATTTTTTTCAAATAAGACCACTTTGAAATTTCTTATTTTAAAATCTATAATTAAATTAAAATAACTTAAAATAAATATATTATAAAATTATTTTAAATTAATCTAAGAAGAATAAATTAAAACTATTTCTCCAGAGAAGAGCACTTGAAATATTTAAAAAAGCGAAAGAAAAAAAGGCAACAGGTATGAGTGGACAAAAAAAAGATTTTGGGTCTTGCTACTGATCGTTCCAGAAGATGTTTGAAGGATGAGGAACTACTACTACTACTACTACTACTACTACTACTACTACTACTACTACTACTACTACTACTACTACTATTACTACTACTACTACTACTACTATTACTACTACTACTACTACTACTACTACTACTACTACTACTACTACTACTACTACTACTACTACTACTACTACTAGTACTACTACTACTGCTGCTGCTGCTGCTGCTGCTACTACAGCTGCTACTAATGATTATGATGATGATGAAAACAATAATAGTAATTTTTAAATTGTCAAGAAAAACAATCAAAAAATGTTAAAAGATTTCAATTTTTTACTGGTCCCGCTAAAAACCGGTTAACAGCACTGCTAGTCTATAAATCATGTGCTAGTAGCTGTAAGTTATGTATGCGTAGGTATGGGTGTATGTATTAGTATGTATGTGTGTTTGTATATGTGTTTGTATGTGTGTTTGTATGTGTGTATGTATGTATGTATGTGTGTTTGTATGTATGTTTGTATGTATGCTTCTTGTTTATTAGAGGGAGAGTCACTTGGGATAATGTTCTTTTGTTTACCTTTGCCAAATGTGTCCTTTCTGTGGCCAAATTAATAGGAGTGATAAACGATTGATGCGGATGACGATGAAGATGATGAGGATGATGATGATGATGAAGAAGAAGAAGTGATGATAAATTATATAATCGTATATGTTGCATGTGTGGTACGTGGATTCGCGCGTATTTTTTGGCGTACATGCTGTGCACCTTTGCTGGTTTAAAAAATATAATTCACTATAATTTATCATAATTTACTATAATTCACCATAATTTGCCATGATTATGCGATTTTAATTTTTAATTATACTAAGAAGAATGTTCAACGAGGTACGATGGAGTCTTATGTTGGCCGGCTACAGAGGCTGGAGTTACAAGATCAATCAAATGTCCACAACATATCAACAACTTCAATATTTTAGGTATGTATGTATGTATGTTTGTTTGTTTGTTTGTTTGTTTGTATGTATGTATGTATAGTATGTATGATTGAATGTGTGTGTGTGTATGCATATGTGTGTATGTATGTATATGTGTATGTTTGTATATGTGTATGTATTTATACCATAGGATATGCGTACAAAAAATGTGAATTGAATGGTACCTGGCACCGTAAAAATGGCTCACCATGGACGGATTATTCAGACTGTTTGAACGACACAAATGATCAAAAATTCGTTAAGGTACGTCCTGTATTTTTTAAAAATTAGAGTCTGGATGAATGAATGAATGAATGAATGAATGAATGAATGAATGAATGAATGAATGAATGAATGAATGAATGAATGAATGAATGAATGAATGAATGAATAGATTGAATTGAAAGATGGATGGATAGATGGATGGACCGATGAACAAACAGATGAATGAATGAATAAATTGATGGATTGATGAATTTTCGATAATTCCAATTTTCTTCCATCTTATGAATCCAATGTTCTCAGTTATTATACCAATCGTTAACACCAACATCGCTGTGTGTGGCGAGATTGTAGTTTAACAGTTAAAGCGCCTGCTTATGATGCTGCTCTGACCGGCTTCAAAAGCAAGGATATTCTCGTAGATTCATTCATTCATGCATTCATTCATGCATATTTACTACATGAGCTTCATTCGTGTTGTCAATCTTTATACCTCTAACAATTAATTATGAAAAGATAATTAACATCGTCATCCAATTAACCATAATTAATTAACTAATTAATTAATCTAATTAGCTATAATTACACATCGCAGAATCAATTGCCACTGATTGCGAAAATCTCTCTCACTGGTTTCTCCATATCTCTCCTATTCCTCGTCATCGCCATCGTCATCATGTTATCATTCAAGTGAGTGAGTGAGTGAGTGAGCGAGCGAGCGAGTGATGGGTGAGTGAATGAGTGATGAGTGAGTGAACAACATCAGAACCGGCATGAACATCAACATCATCATCGCCAACATCATACTCATCATCATCGTCATCGTCATCAACCTCATCATTATCAAGACGTCTCAGATGTTCTAGAAACACGCTGCATCTGAACCTCTTCTTATCATTCATAATGCGATGCATTGCTTTCATCGTACAGTGGTATATCAGGGGGTATGCGCTGTTCATGAATGATACGGTGAGTGAATGAATGAATGAATGAATGAATGAATGATGAATGAATGAATGAATAAATGAATGAAGGAATGAAGGAACAAACGAACGTACGAACGAACGAATGAATGAATGAATGAATGAATGAATGAATAAATGAATGAATGAATAAATGAATGAATGAATGAATGAATGAATGAATGAATGAATGAATGAATGAATGAATGAATGAACCAATCCATGAAGGAATAATTTTTATATCCTATTCAGTATTTTTGGTGCCGATTTTTGATGGTGGTTGTCAATTTTACGTCATCGTCAAATATGTCGTGGATCTTTGTGGAAGGTTCGTCATCACCGTCATCATCGTCATCATCATCATCATCATCTTCTTCTTCTTCTTCTTCATCATCATCATCACCGTCATTACCATCATCATCATCATCATCTTCTTCTTCTTCTTCTTCTTCTTCTTCTTCATCATCATCATTATACTCACTCTCAGGTTTGTACTTGCATACGTTGTTATTCGTGAACGTCTTCTCAGAGTCGAGGCACGTCAAATGGTTCATCATCTTTGGATGGAGTGAGTTAGCATAACAACAACAACAACAACAACAATAATAATAATAATAATAATAATAATAATGATGATGATGATGATGATGATGACGTAATTTATTTCAAGCTTTCCCCTTGTTGATTGTCGTTCCTTGGATGCTGTCTATGATGGCTGATACGAATATCAAGTTAATTTTTCCTCTTTCGTCATCATCATCATCATCATTCTCATCATCAGCATCATCATCATCATCATCATCACTACCATCATCATCGTCATAATTATCGTCATCATTGTTTTTCAAACTCAGATGCTGGTTTTATAACGACAACTATTGGATCATCAAAATACCTTGGCTTGTGACCGTGCTGGTTAGTTAAACAGAAACAGACAAACTCACACACGCACACACACACACACACACACACGTACACACACACACACACACGTACACACACAAACGTACACGTACAAACGTACACACGCACACATTGTTGTTGTCATTTAATGAAACTCAGTGATATGAAATCCCTTTAAATCAACACAAAACAAACAAGAGCTACCAAACATTACCATAATAATAATAATAATAATAATAATAATAATAATAATAGTATTAGTAATAATAATAATAACAGATTTAGCATTGGTAAGGGTTCTTTGCTGAAAATAAATTTATCCGCACGTTTAAAACCATGCAGGCTCTTTAATTTTGACAAAATAAATTTCAGACAAATTATTATTATTATATTATGACTATTATATTATTATTATATTATATTATTATTATAATTTCGTGATTAATATTTATGGGTGTCGTATTTCCAATGTGAAGGGGTGTTCAAACGCTATCTCATACGAAAAAAAATAATTTCCCATGGTTATGCCTGATAATGAAATCTTTATTCACTCACTCACTCACTCACTCACTCACTCACTCACTCACTCACTCACTCACTCACTCACTCACTCACTCACTCACTCACTCACTCACTCACTCACTCACTCACTCACTCATTCATCTAGTTGAACTTTTTCTTCTTCGTCAAAATCCTTCGTTTTCTGTCCAGTAAACTTCAGACCAGTAACTTGATGGAAGCTCGAAAATACAGGCGAGTGTGAGTTATGGTGTTGATGTCATTAATAACTAATAACGATAATGATGATGATGATGATGATGTTGTTGTTGATGATGATGATGTTGTTGTTGTTGATAATGAAGATGATGTTGTTGTTGATGATGATAATGATGTTGTTGATGATGATGATAATGATGTTGTTGATGTTGCTGTTGCTGCTGCTGATGATGATGATGTTGGTGATGACACTGGTGATGATGACGCCAACGACGATGATGAAGCGGCAACTACAACGACCACAACGACCACAACCACAACGACCACAACGACCACAAAAGCAGGAGACTGACCAGGTCAACTCTCGTCCTAATCCCACTCTTTGGCATCCCGTATTTGATGTTTGCCTGGATCCCAGATGGGAAGAACGTCTCGCTGGATGTGGCGGCACTGTACTACGACATGGCGTTTACGTCATTCAACGTTAGTGCTGGCTGTTGTACCTTAGGGCAATTTCAAATGTACGCATTTTTTAAATGCAGCTTGGACAAATGTACACACGCACACACACGCACGCACGCACACACGCACGCACAGGATACACACACATACACACACACATGCACAGACATACATACACACACACGTTTG